TTCTGTGTCTTCCTCTCTTTCTGCGCCCCTGCCCCCCACTCACAGTCTGTCTGTCTCTCTCTCAAAAATAAATAAACATTAACAAAATTTAAAAACCTAAGGGGAAATTAGGACATATTTTAAACTGAAAGAAAATGAAAACAAAACATACATTAATTGTGGGATGCAGCCACAGCAGTTCTTAGAGGGAGATTATTCTAAAATGATATCTCAAATTAGTGACCTCAGTTTCTACTTTAATTTTTTTTTTAATGTTTAATTACTTTTGAGAGAGAGACAGAGACAGAGAGACAGAGACCGTGCGTGAGCAGCAGAGAAGCAGAGAGAGAGGCACAAAATCCAAAGCAGGTGGTTCCAGGCTCTGAGCTATCAGCACAAAGCCCCATGCAGGGCTCAAACTCACAGACGGCGAGATCATGACCTGAGCTGAGGTTGGACACTTAACTGACTGAGCCACCCAGGCACCCCTCAATTTCTGCTTTAAGAAACTTGGGGCGCCTGGGTGGCGCAGTCGGTTAAGTGTCCGACTTCAGCCAGGTCACGATCTCGCGGTCCGTGAGTTCGAGCCCCGCGTCAGGCTCTGGGCTGATGGCTCAGAGCCTGGAGCCTGTTTCCGATTCTGTGTCTCCCTCTCTCTCTGCTCCTCCCCCGTTCATGCTCTGTCTCTCTCTGTCCCAAAAATAAATAAACGTTGAAAAAAAAAATTTTTTTTAAATAAAAAAAATTAAAAAAAAAAAAGAAAGAAACTTAAAAAATAAATGCTACCAAGAGCAAGCAGAAGAAAGAAAATAATGAAGATCAGAGTAGAAATCAATAAAAGTGAAAACAGAAAAACAACGCAGAAAGTCAATGAAACAAAAAGCTAATTCTTTGAGAAGATTAATGAAATTGATAAATCTCTAGCTAGACTAATCACAATGAAAAGAAGATATAAATTATCAATCTCAAGAATGAGAGATGATATCACGACAGATTTAACATGTAAAAGGAAAAGGAAATGTTACAACTTTATGCAGTAAATTTGACAATTAAGAAGAAATGGGCAGGGGCGCCTGGGTGGCTCAGTTGTTTGAGCATTGGACTTTGGCTCAGGTCGTGATCTCACATTTCATGGGTTCAAGTCCCACGTCAGGCTCTGTGCTGACAGCTCGGAGCCTGGAGCCTGCTTCAGATTCTGTGTTTCCCTCTCTCTGCCCCTCCCCTGCTCTCTGTGTCTCTCTCTCTGTCTCTCTCAAAACTAAATAAACATTAAAAATTTTAAAAAAGAGGAAATGGAGAGATGCCTTGAAAGACACAAACTACCAAAGATCACTCAATAAGCAACAGACAACCAAAAAGAAAAAAAGAAAAAAAATCCTGTATCTATTAAGGAAATTGAATTGTTACTTAAAACCTTCCCACAAAGAAAATTAAAGGCCCAAATGGCTTCCCTGGTAAATTCTACCAAACATTCCATTGTTTGTGTAGCAATTCTTTACAAACCTATTGAGAAAACTGAAGTGGAGGGAATATCTCTCAGTTCATTCCATACCAAATTTATAAAAGGACATTACAAAAAAAGAAAAGCACAGACAGTTCTCCTAAACACAGAAATTGTTAATGATATCAGCAAATCGACTCCAACAATATATAAAAAAGATAATGCATCTTGAATAAGCAGGGTTTATCTGAAGAATGAAAGGTTGGTTTAACATTAAAATTCCATGTAATTTGCCATAGCAACAGTGAAAAAGAAAGACCATGTGATGATCCCAATAAGTGCAGAAAAAACATTTGGCAAAATCCAACATTTGCATTCCTGATATAAACTCTAAACAAACTAGGAACAGAAGGGAACCTCTTCAACCAGATAAAAGGCAAGTATTTTTTAAAACCCTTCAGTACCCAAAAGAATGGAAAGTAAGAAGTCAAACATACTTGTACAGCAATATTCATAGCAACATTATTCACAGTAGCCAAAAAGTGGAACCAACCCAGGTGTCCAGCACGTGAATGGATATGCAAAATGTGGTCTGTTGATACAATGGAATATTTTTCAGCCATAAAAAGGAATGAAGCTCTGTTACATGCTACAACACAGAAGAACCTTGAAAAGTTATTCTAAGTAAAAGAAGCCAGATACAAAAGGGCAAATACTGTATAATCCAACCTTTGTGAAATATCTAAAATAAGCGAATTCATAGAGACAGAAAGTAGATTAGAGGTTACGCGGAGCTGGGGAAGGGTAAATGAGGAGTTTTTGCTTAATAGGTATAAGGTTTCTGTTTGTGGTGATGTAAGGATTTTAGGAATAAATGTGATGGCTGCGTGAAATTGCGAATGGATCTAATACCACTAAATTGTACACTTAAAATGGCTCTATGGCTACATTTTTATGGTTATATTTTACCACAATTAAGAAACACCTCTAGCCAGCGCCATACATAATGATAAAAGACTGAATGCTTTCCCCGCAAGATCAAGAACAAGGCAAGAACCCCCAACCCCACTGCATCTACTATACATCATGCTGGAGGCCTAGACAGTGCAAAGTCGTGGAAAAGAAAAGGCATCCAAATTGGAAAGGAAGTGTGCAGTTTTCTTTAATCACATACAACACAGTCTTCTATTAGATCCATAAAAATACTACAATAAGTGAGTTTAGCAAGGTTGTAGGATATAAGACCAATATAAAAGTTAATCATGATTCTACATAATAGCAACACACTACTGGAAATAAACATTTTTAAAATACCATCTGGGGGCACATGGCTGGCTCAGTGTTATATGCGACTCTTGATGTTGGGGTCATGGGTTTGAACCCCACGTTGGGTATAGAGATCACTTGATCTTGGGGTCATGGGTCATGGGTTTGAACCCCACGTTGGGTATAGAGATCGCTTAAGAATAAAATCTTGGGGCGCGTGGGTGGCTCAGTCGGTTAGGCGTCAGACTTCTGCTCGTGTCTTGATCTTGCGGTTTGTGGGTTTGGGCCCTGCACTGGGCTCTGTGCTGACTGCTCAGAGCCTGGAGCCTGCTTTGGATTCTGTGTGTGTCTCTCTCTGTCTGCCCCTCCCCAGCTCACACTCTGTCTCTGTCTCCCAAAAAGTAAATAAACATTAAAAATTTTTTAATAAAAGAAATAATAAAATCTTAAAAAAAGAAAAAAACCCAAAGTAGCATTTAAAAATATGATAAACTTAGGGATGAATCTGACAAAAGATTTCTAAAACTTCTACAATGAAAACTCCCAAACATTGCTGAAAGTCAGGAAGGCCTAAGTTAATGGAGAGAAATACCATGTTTATGAATCAGAAGATTCAATAGTGTCAAGATGTTACTTCCACCCAAATTGATATATAGATTCAATCCTAATTTAGAAATTAACAGGCTGGTTCTAAAATCCATAGAAAATACAGAGGACCTGGAATAGCCAAAATAACCTTTGAAACAAAAGAGCAAATTTGGAGGACTAACCCTACCCTACTTCAAGTCTTGTTACAAAGCTATAGTAGCCAGGAGAATAAGCTGTCGCTGGAAAGGTAGATAGTAGGTCTGTGGGACAGAATAGAGTCCACAGCTAGACCCGGACATATATGATCAACCAGTCTTACACAGAGATGCAAAGGCACGTCAGTGAAGAAAAGGATAGTGCTTTCCTCAAATGGTGCTGGGACAGGTGGATGTCCAAATGCATAAAAAGATGAGCTTCAACCCATACTTTATGTTGTATGCAAAAGCTACCTCAGATCATAAACCAGAATATAAAACCTAAAACTGTAGCTGTGTCTGGATGGCTCGGTTGGTTAAGTGTCCAACTCTTGGTTTCGGTTCAGGTCATGATCTCATTGTTCATGAGTTCAAGGGCTGATAGTGCAGAGCCTGCTTGGGATTCTCTCTCACCCGCCTCTCCTCCCACCCCCTGCTCATGCTGTGTCTGTCTCTCTCAAATAAACTTTAAAAAACAAGACAAACAAAAAAAAAAGGAAAGTCCTAAACCTAAATTTAAAAAACAAACAAAAAACGCCTAAAACTGTAAAACTAGTACAAAACACAGGAGAAAGTTTTTCTTGACTTAGGGAAAGGTTTTTATGTGTGATACTTAAAGCACTATCTACAAGAGAAAAACATTGATATATTGGACTTTAACAAAATTAAGTCTCCTCTTCAAAAGACACTGTTCAGAGAGTAAAAAGATACAGCAGTTACAAATGAGTTAGAGGAGTCTAGAGGGTCCTGTGGTGGCGGATCACAGTTGGAAGTATTGGTGTGGGGATATTGGAGGGATGTGCATATACAGGGGCTAGTGTACAAATGTATCTTTACTAGCTCTGTCAGCACCCCAAAAGCAATGAGCGCACCTCACACCCAGATCTTGGTTCCTAATACCATTTTCCACTGCAAGGAACCAGGGCTCCTTGGAAAAACAGCTGAATCCAGGGCCAGTGCAGGGAGTGTACACGATGCAGTGCCCAAAGTCAGAAAGTGCTGGTGGGGCCACGGGGAGTTGGCAGGGTGTGTCAGGACACAGGAGCCAACGGAAAGGGCTCCCAGTGGCCAAAGCTGGAGCAGTTGAGGGAAAATGAAGTCGTATTGGATTATAACTCAGAGTGTGAAATGATACGCCCACAAGTCCTTAGTGATAAAAATAAATGATAGGTAAGATAGCAATCTCCTGTGCAGAAGAATAACAAATAATTTGTGTAAATGGTCCACTGTCAGAGAAGAGCGAAACTCCCAACCTTAGTGTGGGCTGTGCATAGAGACTCCCTTCCAGAGAGCTCAGGATGGAGGGGATGCGAAGGGCTCCCTATCAACAGTGGTAAGGTTTTTTTGCACAGAGTGGGAGGCATGCCCAGATCAACCCCAGAAGCCTGTTGTGCTGCTCGGCACCTTCTCCAACACCAGCTCAGGAGCCTGGGACCCCTGAGTGCAGCCATTTAGGAGCCAGATGGCTGGGCTGGGGGCTCCTCCAGCCAGCTAGAGGGTCAGGCACTGGCTGCCTCTCTTCTCTTGACCAGGGTCACCTTCCCTGCATCTTCCTGCCCACCTCTAGCATGAACAGAGCCAGCTTTCTGGTTGACAGTGCTCAGCAGGGCCCCAGTACCTACCCCGGTCACGTGGTCCAGACACGTTCCCATACACAACCACACACACCACATCACTGCTGGGCTGGGTGCTCCTCGGCCCCAGCTGGGCATTGGCCATGGCCCTATTTCCCTTTGAGGAATCCAGCAGGGGTGCAATACCTTCCCAGCTGATGGGGGTCAGCCTCAAGCAGGCCCAGGGGCCTCCTCGCCAGCCACATCTCGACCCGCGTGGGCATGCATTCCTGGCTTTGTGTTCTGTGGTCCTCATGGCTCTGTTTGCTCCCCAGTGACGCAGCATATGAAAGCGCTCCTGGAAAGGAACACTAAGAAGAAGTCCAAGTTGAGAAAGAAACCCAAGCCTTATGTTGAGGAGCCGGATGGTAGGGCCTCTCCCCACAGCCCCTGTGCGCTGTGTCTGCACAGTTCTGCTCTCCGGCCTAGGCCGCCTGGCCTCCTTTCTCTAACCGCTTCTGGGCTGGAAGGGGTGTTGGTGGGGTGGCACTAACCATCAGGCCTGCGGCCTCCTGAGCCAGCCGGAGGCCCCAGGTCACTGAAGAGGGTCCTGGGAGAGGCCACACCTGCCCTGCGCCTTTCTCCGAGGTGCTTCAGAACAATTTCCAACTTCACACTGGGCTCTCAGTGGGGAGGGGCGTGAGGACGAACTGGGCAAGGCCTGCGGAAGCCCCCCTAGGTGAGTGTTTGCTGAGGAAGTGCCCTGAGGGCCAGCGCCTGCCCAGTCCTGACCTCCAACCCAGGCCACCCTGGCCTTGCTTCCCTGGTGGGAGCCAATGGGTTTTCCAACCTCCCCCACCAGCCTTGCCCTTCTCCTGGGCCTGGCTCAAGATCCACACCCCCATCCCGCTGCTGCCCAAGCTCCACGGAGGCCCTGTTAACCCAAAACTGTACCCTCCCTGCTGGGAGAGCTGGTGGTCTCACTGTTGTCCTGTCAGCTTCCCTTCCTGGCACCGGGGCTCTGGGACCAGCCCCTGCCCCACCCCTGGCACTTCCCTCAGCCTTGGTACACATACCTCATTCCCCAGACTTGCCCCATTTCTGTTTCTCTAATACCAGTCAACCTCAACACCCCTTCCTCTGGGAAGCTCTCTGGATGCATGCTGCCCTTGGACACAAAGGGGAAGCTGCAGTCCACAATTTTCAACTGCCCTTGGGCCACACCCATCTGGAACGGAGTGGAGGGGCTGTTCCGGAGCCTGTTCACGAGTCGTGTTGCCACAGGCGGGTGGGCCTGGGGGCACAGCGAACGGGCTCCTGTGGGCCTGGGCTTGGGCTAAGCAGGACACTACAGCCCAAGATGGTGTTGGGTAGTGAGGAGGGAGCTAGAAGCCCTGGGACCCAGCAGTGTCCATGCCAAGAGGTGGCAGTGGCAGGTTCTGGCCAGATCCAGTGGCTTCTGAGGCTTGAAGCCAGGGCTCAGGGGGCACTAAGGCCCCAGGGCAGGCCTGGATCCCTGGCATAGCAGCATAGACTCAGCTGCTTCTGTCAGTCCCCTTGGGGCCACCATCTCCCCACATAAAGACTGGGCATGGCGTGTCCTGGCAAGGCTAGGACAGGTCAGTGGGCCCAAAGCAGAGCACCCCACACCACCGTGAGAGTCTCCCTGGGTTGGCCGTAGGCCCTGCACATCCTCCCAGGCACTCAGCAGACAGCCCTCAGTCCTGGCCTGGGGAGCTCTGTCCACGGCAGTACAGGGTGCAGAGGGGCTCTTGGGACTCTGGGCACACATGGCCACAGCCCTGGTCCTCCCTGTGATACCCGCAGCTGCAGCTGCTGAGCTGTGCACCAGACCCCAAGGTCAGCCCTTTATGGGCACCTGTGAGGTAGGTGTCCCTGTCTCGTCCTACAGAGGAAGAAGCTAAGGCCCAGAAAGGCTGCCTTCAGACCAGGGTTACCAACTGAGAGGTGGCAGCCCCAGGATCTTCAGATCACAGTCTGTTGGAGAGGCCCTGAGACAGGAGGCATTCGCTAGGCCCTACACAGTCTGCTGCCTGCTACAAAGTGCTCTCTGGGCTCCTGGTGGCCAGTGTAAAGCCCAAGGCCCCCTTTGCCTTCCAGGTTCCTGACAGCCTGCCCAGAAAGGCCAGGTCGGCCTGTGGCAGAAGGTTCTAGGTGCTGTGTCCTGAGCTGGCCTGTCAGAGGCAGCAGCTGGGATTCTCTGCCAGGAATCTGTGGATCCCCCCTGAGACCATAGGGAAACAGATTCTCCAGGGAGAATAAGAAATATTTGTTTTCACTTTACTCTAAAAGAGAATCCCCTTACCACTTACAATAATAAAACTATCTTGGGATAACTCAAAAAGATTTTCATTAAGCCATGTTTATGTTTTTCACACTGAGGTCCAAAGACCCCCATGTGCTTGGACGTCCACAAGAAACTGCTTCCCTTAAAAGAAGATGGGGGTATTTGGATTTGAGACTTGGGTGTAGAGGCCTCCCTCTGGCCAGCAGGCACTGGGGCAGGTGGACCCAGCAGGGGCAGGGCTTTCCAGAGAAGGGGCCAGTCCTGAGCCTGGAGGCACACATTACAGCTTTTCTGTCTGTCGGTCCTTGGCACCTATGCCTGGATGGCTCCTCTGGGCTCCGCCTCATTGCGTGTTCTTGGTCTTGTCGCTGCTTCTGTTTTCCCTCCCTTCCCCACCACCCCCCTCCCCTTCACCAGGAAGGATGCTGCACACATTTCAAACCCACCCTGTGTGGGATCTCCTCCCCCACTACCTCTCCCTCCTCCCCACCTTGTGCTTCTCTCTCCTTCCCCTCATTTCTGTATCTGGAGAACCTCGTGGCCAAGGTCCCTGAGGTTCTTGCCCTCAAACTGCCACCCGAGCCATCACCCCCATGACAACTAGCCAGAACTTCTGCCAGGGGCAGGGTTTAGAAAAGCCCTCTCCCAGCCGCCTTCAGCCCTCGGGCAGAATTTAAAGGTGTCCTTCTGTGGCGTGGCCCTCCCACTGACACCCGAGCTTGGGACATGGGGCATCCTCTCCACATTCATCGCCTTTTCCACTGCGGCCATCTCCTTGGCTTCCCTTTCCATGACTCCTGTCCACACAGCCCTCAACAGACAGGGATGGGGCGCGACAGGCTGAGGCCCCTCTACCACAGCTACACAGCATCCCTGGCTGGAGGCAGGGCTGCAGGACCTTTGGCCCAAAGTCCCGTCCCCAGTGCTGGCCCAAGGCAGAGGGCACTAAGCTCCTTTAGCCCTGCTGCCCGTGGAAATGACCCTTGTCAGGGGCTCCTCGGGGCTAACTTGCAAGGGGAGCATGGGTTTGGAGACCCCGGGGCCCAGGTCCTGCCCTATCCTGCCTGTGACTCAGTGGGAATAAGTCTCATTCACAGCCTGCCCTTCCTGGCCGTGAGGAAGTGTGGGTGGGCTGGCAGAGGAGTCGCCTCCCAAGCCTGGCTCCTTGAGGCGAGGGAGTCCCTCTGGCCTCTCGATGTGGGTTTCTGCTTTCAAGGACTTAGCCCAGAAAAGCGAGGACCCACTGGCCCGGGCCCCCAGGGCTCTTGCAGAAGCTGCCTCTCCTCACCCCTGCTGCTGCTTCTCTTGGCCTCTGTGCCCCGTACACCCACGCCCAGCCGACCAGAACCTGCTGCTCTCTTCCAGGGGTGGCGATCAGCACATACGCCAAGTACTGCTACCACAAGCTGCAAAAGGCGGCCCTGACGGGGGCCAAAAAGGTACGAGCTCCCCCAGGACAGCCAGGCAGGGGTGGCAGGCTATGCTGGTGACACCCAGGCAGGGTCCAGAAGGAAGCCTTGGCAAGCCACCCCTCACATCCTACTGAGTGTCCTGCTCACCTTGAGCCCAGCCTGCACATTCGGCTTCGGGGTGGGGCGTGTGACAGTTAACAACACAGAAAGTGCTCCAGGGAGCCTACCTAGGCAGGCAGCCGGGAAAGGCCTCGGGCAGGGGCTGCACCCCAAGTTGAGGAGCCACTGTAGGCAAAGGGATGTGTAGCTAGGCCAGGGCATCAGGACACCAGCCCAAGTGAGGGTGGGACGCATTGCCGCAGCAGCACCAGCCGTCCCAGGCCTGTCGCCGTCATACTGGTGTGGGTGAGGGGCAGAGAAAGGCACAGCACGTGGGCAGGCTAAGAGACCACCCTTCCCAGAAGGGACCCTCCCACCCTGGCAGACTGCCTCTGGACCCAGGGGAGGCCCAGCCTTGGAATGCAGGGTGGGCTCAGAAGACGACCATGTGCCCCTTCACTCACACCAGGCCACCCACCTGGCCATGATGGTCCAAGAGCCCAGCCCCACCAGTGGTAGCTGTGCGGGTGGTCCCAGTAGTGTCCCCCCCTAGCCACTTCCCTGGCCCCCATTCTGCTGCTGGGGCCTCTTACTGCCTGGCAGAGCTGGACAGCCACACCCCTCCCACAACCTCTCATCTCCCCTGCCCTGAGCCCACATTTTGCGGTACCCGTAGAGGGGCCTCAGTCACACCAAACATCTGGACCTTGTTCCCTAGTCTTAGGATTTGTGGCCATCTTCTCCCTTCTGTCCACTGCCTCCTCCCTTTCAGCCTACCACCCCACCCCTACCCACGTAGCCCTCAGGGCCTCCTATGCCAGACCTTTCCCCAACTATTGAAGGCAGCTGTCCTGGAGCCTGGCTGTCCCTTCCCCCTCTCCCTTCGAATGCACTTCTGTAGTCCCGCCTCTAGAAGCTGCTGCCTGTGCCCACCTCAGGCTTTCCCCCCTCACCTCTACCCCAGGGTGGTCTCACATGGTCCGGGTCAGCCAGCCTGGACTTCCCACTGCCACAGGCAGCTCCCATTCCAGGAGTCCTTCCCCTCTTCCTCCTGTGTGACCAACAAGGGCCACCTAAAAATTTGGGACAGTGTAGGTGGCCCAGCAGGTTGCCCCTCCCCCGGTGACTTGGGGACCAGGGAATTGCGGGTACCGCCAGCTCTGACTGGGCAGATGTCTGGAGTTACCGGGGATGAGAGGACAGGGGAGAAGGGAGGGTGGCCGAGCCAGAGGCAGCCCAGGGCACAGGGAAGGCTGGGAGCAGGGCGGTGGGGCCACACTGAGACGGAGAGCTGGGCTATCTTGGCAGGGGCTGAAGAAGCCCAACGTGGAGGAGATCCGGCACGCCAAGAACGCTGTGTTCAGCCCATCCATGTTTGGCAGCGCACTGCAGGAGGTCATGAGCCTGCAGAAGGAGCGCTACCCTGACCGGCAGCTGCCCTGGGTACAGACACGTCTGTCCGAGGAGGTGCTAGCGCTCAACGGTGACCAGACGGAAGGCATCTTCAGGTGCCCCGCAACCTGGGCCCTGGGTGTGGGAGCCTCGGGTGGCCGCACTGTGTGTCAGGCAGGCGAGAACCATCAGGCACCAGGACCACTGGGCCTACCTCTTTGCTTCAGCCCTGGGTTTTGGGGTCCAGACCCATGCCCCTGCCTGGGAGTAGCCAGAGAGGCCCCCCACAGGAGGCCGTCATCTGAAGGGGGGGAGGGACACCCTGGGGCAAATGGGCCACTAGGTAGCCTGGAGAGGCAGGGCAGGGCCCTGTCCTTAGGAAGCAAGTCAGAGAGCCGTCCCCTTGAATGGCAGCGCGCCTGACTTTAGGCAGGGGGGTCAGCCAGAGACCGTTCCTGAGCAGAAATGGCCACCAGGGTCCCAGAAGGCACTTGGACAGCAACCACAGGCAGAGCCAAAGACATGAGCCTAGAAAGACACAGCAACAGCAAGCAGACTGCTCGCCTGTGAATAGGGATGATAGCTCCTGCCCTGGGGGGGGGGGGG